CGGTCTCCTCGACTTCTCCAGTCGTCTCCAGCGGTCTCCAAACAAGCGACTCCGGGAACCTAAGGCGGCAGCGCCAGCAATATACCAGGCAACCCAATAAGCATAATATAATACAATCAATAAGGTACAGCCAGTGGATCCACCCTGGCCAAGGCCACCAATCAATACTACTAATCAAGGACCACCAACTCACACCTCCAGCCACTATCGACCAATACCCTAAGGCACAAGTCAATATTGAATAACCCAATCACTAATTAGAATGAGGGCTAACCAACCATAACGCTAACTAATGTAGGAAATAAATTTATAAGTTGTAATATAATGTCAATAATTGCTTTAGGAATTGTGGTATAAGAGATGTTAATAAATGTTAGTATTTACAAGTGTTGTTTCAATAAAATAATTTAATAGAAGTCGCATCATAGGGCAATCTACCACTCTACCGTCGAAACACTTCCTTGCTGATGATTGTATCAGTTTGATCCGGCCATTCGCTGAAAAAGCAGGAGTTCCAGGGGCGTATAGGACGTGGTGAAGGTCGTCTCCACATCACGTTGGATTTCGTAGTTTTCTCATTTGCGGTGCTACCCAGACGGTTGAAAAGTGGGAGTGAAGTCTTAGTGAGTGGAGCGTGTGTCGAATATTTTAGTGCTCCATCTAGTTTACTTTGTTGCCGAGTCAGTTCAGCGGTCGGCGGCTGAGGTGAATCGCGGAGTAGAGTCGGCCCCGCCTTTGCTAGGCGTCTGTGTTAAGGTTGTGGGTTATTTCGACAGCCTAAGATACAGTTTTACTGTAATTGTTTAGCGTGTGCGGGAGAGCTCTGCCTGCTGCACACAGGCAGCACAACCTCGTTCTCGTACGGTTGCACCTTTGCAAAGTTTTGTAGACCCTAGTCGTGATCGAACTAGTCATCTGAAGCTCATCATCTATTGCGAAGAATTCATTCTACATTGCTTTCACAATCGGAACGGAAAATAAGTTGTTTTTATCGGATGAAATAAGGTAGAAGAAGAGCAGACGATTTTACGGAACCGCTATTATTTACGGCACCCACTCATCGACATTTCCGGAGTCTTCAACTTGCTCGATGGGAATGGCACCACAAAACAGTTACCCCCAATTCAGTATCGATATCTCAATGTCCTAAGCAGATTAGATTTTATCGAGTCTTCCAGCTATTTTTCACCATCATTCGGAACCTAACGACCACTGTCACCATCTATGAAGTTCTTGCCACCTTTACACAAGCCGCTCAATCTATCGCTGCCGAGAGCAT